GTTGAAACAAGCATGAATTGAAAATCGGGCTCAAAGACAAGAAAGTGTTAATTTCATTCTAACAGAGCTGGAATTAGTCAAGCACTTACGGCTCCATATTCATCCTCATACAGCAACTGGCTGAAAGTCTGCAAACCTAAGAGGGTTTAATGAAGAAATAACTAATAAAAATGAGGAGGAAATTGAAAAAGTTGTTTGATTTGATTTTTTAGAATAGAAATAAGCGGATCGGTGCGGCGTCTGCAGTAATGCGGGCGCTGTACCGGTCTGTCGTGATGAAGAGAGAGCTGAGCCTAAAGGCGAAGCTCTCAATTTATCGGTCGATCTACGTTCCCACCCTCGTCTATGGTCACGAGCTTTGGGTAGTGACCGAAAGAACGAGATCGCGGATACAAGCGGCCGAAATGAGTTTCCTCCGTAGGGTGGCTGGGCTCTCCCTTAGAGATAGGGTGAGAAGCTCGGCCATCCGGGAGGGGCTCGGAGTAGAGCCGCTGCTCCTCCACGTGGAGAGGAGCCAGTTGAGGTGGCTCGGGCATCTGTTCAGGATGCCTCCTGGTCGCCTCCCTGGGGAGGTGTTCCGGGCTCGTCCCACCGGGAGAAGGCCCAGAGGAAGACCCAGGACCCGCTGGAGGGACTATGTGTCCCGGCTGGCCTGGGAACGCCTCGGGATCCCCCCGGAGGAGCTGGCCGAAGTGGCCGGGGAGAGGGAAGTCTGGGTTTCCCTGCTCCGGCTGCTGCCCCCGCGACCCGACCCCGGATAAGCGGAGGACAATGGATGGATGGATGGATGGATGGAGAATAGAAATAAGGTTGAGTCAACTTGGACCTGCACTCAAAGTTAAGATTAGTTTGACAGACTTTTGTATTCTGGCAGAAAGTTAAAAGGGAAGAGTGACACCAGGCCACCAGGAAGTCCCTTTTAAACAAAGCCTTTCTGTAACTTAACAATGGAGGGGTGAAACAAAACAAAACAAAAAAAACAGTGCCATTGTATTGGTTCTGTTATTATTGGAAAAAAAAGATCATCATCAGGGGCTGAACCATAAAACATACATAATTCTTGAGCCCCGAGGAACTGAACATGCCAGTCACAACATTTCTGGGTCTTTTAATTTGGGGACAATACAGTGTTCACTTTTTATCCGTCTAATTGATTTTATTCATGAATTTTCTTTCTTTGTTTTTATGCTTTTAAATTCTTTGTAAAGCCCTTTGAATTGTCTTGTACACGAAATGTGCTAAACAAATAAACTTGCTTTGCCTGATTTGATCATGAAAATGATGCAATTAGAGCCACTCAAAGGAGTAAATAAATCCATACCATGCAGGGCTCCCCAGACCTTTGGTGCTTTCAGGACAGCGAGTGGCTGATTCACTATCAGCTCGTCTGCAGACACAAACAAAGGGAAACAGCGTTTTCAGTGTCTGAGCCTGACAGGTGGTGACGACTTTGGTTTTAAACGTTTCGTCTGTGTTAATCCCCGCATATGCTGCCCAGGTAATCCACATGAGAAGGCAGTACAGCCTGAAATGAATAAAAACAACTACAGTTAAAAGTTAAAGGAATATCTAACCAACATCCCAACATGTGGTTCTGGACCCTCAACAAAAAAAAAACTAAGAACCTGTGAGAAGAACTGTGGAAAGAAAGAAGAATAACTGCCTCCATTTAATTTGATTTCCTGTTTTCTAAGCAGGGTGCATGATTACAACCTATCAAAGATTAAAGGCCCATCAGTGGGTCAAAGGTCAATCTGGTAGGACAAAACATGGAGTAACTCCAGGGCTTAGTCAGCAATCTTTAAGACATCTTAAATGAGCTAACTGGGGTTCATCCTCTTACACGAAGACAGCTCCACCGATAAACAGAAGGTGAGGTACCTTAAGGTGAAGTGCCTGTACCTTAAAATATTCTTTAAAATCTCACAAACTGATGGGAGAGATCAACAAGCTGCTTTGAAAGGCATCATCACAAACATCATGTTATTGATCACAACCACCAAACTAATGTCACACTCCTCAGAAACACAAATGATGTTATTCCCTTATACACGCGTGTCGTCACCAAACAGGAAGTGATTGAGGAAGCGGGGAGACTCACATGACTCGTCGGAGCTCGCGCTGGGATGGGCGTCACACTCAGAGTCAGGTGACGTGACCCACACCTGGAGCTCGGTCAGTTCGGCGAGACCCGTTCTCCGGCTTTTTGTCCCCCTCTGCTTTTTGACACCGAACATGTATTCATAACACCTGCGGAGAGACAGACGACATGAGAGCGGAAGTGCTCCCCGTTTGAAGAAAAACAGAGCGCAACTCCCCTTAAAAAAACTCACCTCCTGTAGGCGTTCTGAAGGAGGCTGCAGCTCGAACCGGCCGACGACTCCGGGGCGTCCGATATTTTGAAAGTGGAGCCGCTCAGCACGTAGGAAACCTCGGATATCTGCACTTTCTGCGGCAGAGGCCACAGAGAGCCGTATTTTGAGGGCCGCCAAGTGAGCTCGACAGCCTCCTCGTCCTCGTCGTAGATGGAGTTGTCCTGGAGCCCCGCGCAGAGACCGAGGGCCAGCCAGAGGAGCGCGAGCCCCGCCGCTCTGCCCATGTTCACAGCTCACTGATAAGTCACGAGACCCACCGGCTGGGAGAGCACAAGTGTGATTTCGGTGGAAAAGGCGGGACTTCAATGCGGAAGTTTGGCCTCACAGACATTTAAAGGGGACACAGTTTCCTTAAAAAATCCAACAAAACCGAAAGTTTTTTAATGATTGAGAAATTGAGAAGGGAAATAAACAACATTCTGGTTATCCAACTTTTAAGTTTGTTCAGTGTTTTTTTTTATTATTAATAATGCTTGTTTTTGTGAATAGAATCCAAATTCTTTGTGACCTCCATGTCAAACAACCCGGCTGTCACATAGCCATCTTTTGAACCTGGACTGACTCTTTCTTGTTAATTTTTCCTGTAAAAGTTGGGAAGATTTTCAACTCTTGTAATTTCCTACACGCAGCCTAATAGCTATGTTCACAGCTAATGTCATTTTTCTTTTTCTTAAATAACTGCTTCATTCTTTTGTCCTCATTGACAGCTTTACCTACAGTCAGTAGAGTATACATGCCAGAGGAAAGCCACCAACCCAAACCTGTTTTCCTTTGGCCTTTGGGCCATATAAGAACAAAATAACTCGGTTTGGATCCCCCCCCAAACATGTAAAAGTCCACCGCAGCACAGCGACAATTCTTAGAGGAGGGGGGGGGGGGTGCGGATGATCGGAGCAGACTCTTGCGCTGCTGATTTTATTTTTCTTCGTGCATGATGCAAATATAACGAGGCCGATATATAATAATAATAATAATACATATAATTAATATACATGTCGGGTCTGCCGGCCCACGTCGGCCCACCGGGAAAATGCCCGGTACGCCCGGTTACCAGTCCATGCCTGGACGTGGAGTGTTAGCTGAAGTGCACCGTGGAGCCTAACATGTTGGAAGGTGGGCGTGCCTTCGCTTGTCAGACAAGTTATGAAAGCTATGAAGCTACGAAATCTAACCTAAGATATAACGACACACACTACCGGACACAGTCAAAATCACATTTCTAGAGACTTTATTGCTCACTAGTGCTGCCACGGCGGGCATAGATAAAGGAAACTATATTGTCCTACCTGAAATCATTGTGGCTGCATTCAATCTTGCTAGTAGCTGTATGATCCATTTGTCTTCTTGCATCTTCGACTGTAATTGTACATTCATTACATTTTCTATTCACTATTTTTCTGCCATCTACACTTGGCACGGCAAGGAAGCATGCTATAACAGATGTAAACAAAAAAACGAATAGAAACATTTTTCTCAGATTATTACGTACGTTGGCACTCGGCATGCCCTACCGGTAGCCCCCTACCGGACCCCGGAACCGGTAGCCCGGTGTCCCGGTAGCTCCGTGCCGCCGCCCGCCCCCCCCTAAATCTTTAAGATATTTGGTTGAATCTGCTTTAGTTTAGATTCTCATTGGTTTGTTTTTAGTCATGTGACTTGTTTTTAGTCATGTGACAAAAACAAGGAAGTGGGCGGGCTACCGCGATACCGCGGTAAAAGACGAAAAACGGAAAACCGGGAATACCGGGAAAACCGGGGAATATCGGGGAAAACGGCCACCGGGGGAGGGGGGCCGGGGCTCCCCAGAGGGGAGACCCGGACCCCCGACCCCGGTTCGATATCACTGTCAGAGTAGACCCGCACCGAACCCCGGTATCGCGGGAGCCCTAGGACGCAGTAGCCCGGTAGCCCCCCCTCCGGCCCCGGTAGCACGGTTGCCCGGTAGCGCGGTTGCCCGGTAGCCCCCCCCTCCGGCTCCTTACCTTGTTCGTGCGTTGCAGTGAGAGTCCCCCATCTTGCCATTTGAGCAAATTTAAATCACTCTGGAATTTGGAAAAAAAAAAAAATCAGGGGTTTTCAAAACATTTAGGGAAACTCCAGATGGTAAAACAAGTAAAAGTTTTTAAATGACATTTAGTCTTTCAAATCTTCATTTTAAACTGTAAACAAGGAACAAAGTACAAGTAGCTTATAACTGTACTTATAATATAGAATGAATATGACTGTTTTAAAAATATAAAGTAAAATTTAGGGGGACATTACATACATACATACATACATACA